ACACAAAAACTTTGCAAATAAATGACAGCTGCAATCCGGTTTTTTTTTTGGGTGTGGGGTGCAGGACGCCAGATGCATTGCTGAAGTGTTGCCACTGACAAGGATGAAAACCAGTCATGTTTAGCATTTCAAATTAAGGAATTAGTACTGACTTTATTAAATATTAAATAGTTTTATTAAGAATACGTTTTAAACAATATGTTTATTGCATGAAGATATTCTAGTCAGACAACTTTTCTAACTCCCTGTCTACATAGTTTTCAACCTCCTTGATCGCCTTTAAGCTATGCTCAGTTCGTGTTAAAAGTTCGTTGGCGAAGTAACCTCTTAGAATATTGGATTTGTCTTGTGTAAGTCTGGCCTGAGCGTATAAAAGTTCTAATTCGTGCGCCAAATATGGCCCCATTTTTAATTCAGCGGCAGCTTTGAGAAATGCGCATTTTCGATTGCGAACTTCTACAAGTTTTTGCAAATTGGACCGACGTTGAGCTTCCAAAGCAATGATATGATTAGAACTAGATGATGCTGAGGGGTGGCACAGAGCAGTTGGTGGGGGTGTGCTGGGGTCTGCAAAAACATCAGGCACCTCTGCTTTTAATTTTCTTCCAAAATCAATAATTGGCTGAAGATTCAAACGCAGTAACGCTATTATTTCTTCACGAATCGCCTTCCGTTCAGTATAACTCAAGTTAATACAATCACGAAGTTCCTTTAAACCTATTGAAGTTAAATATAATTAATTATTCTTTTATAAATATGCTCATTTCTCGCCTAAAATAAACTCCTCTCCTCCACCAGCATTCAATTGTAAGTAATTGTTAACAGCAAGCACCTTGAGTGCCTGCTCTACTTGCTCTCCATTGTCTGGAAGATCTAACTTGTTTACTCTTATTTTCTGTAGGTTATCTAGCACCAAACGAAGTTTTCTGATCTTGCACAATTCGCAGTCCCGTTTTACTTCCATTTGCCTGCGCGCCTCCGCACTGAGAATGCTGAGTGTTTCATTAGCATCACCCATTTTCCCAAATATTTAGTTTGGATTTAGAAAGTCCTTTGAATTTTCGTATGAAATTCTTTGTTTTTTAGTCGACTGGATTAATTGGCCCTGTTGTGCGAGTTTGAATTTTTTCTGTTTACCAGCATAGAGCATAGATAAAGCAGTTCAAAAATTCAGCAATTTGATAGCTTACTGCAAGGCGAATTTATATAAGGTGGTCTTACTGGCGAATTTCGATTTTCGCCGCGGTACTTCCTAATGTCAAAATGATGTGTTTGTTGTAAACAAGGCGAATTCATATTACAACAAACACATCATTTTGACATTAAAAGTACCGCGGCAAAAATCTAAATTCGCCATCAAACCACCTTGTATAAATTCGCCTTGGGTTTTTGTTAATTCTGTTTTTCATTTGTAGACAATTTTTTGGGTACTGAAAAATGACCAAAGCGAAGGTAAGGATAATAATTTCAATTCAATTATGTATTTAAGCTATAGAAATAACACTTTTTATCTTTTTGGGAGCAAGAGGAAACAGCACGGAAAACTCACAAAAAGTCGAAAAAGCATTCCAAGTCTTCTAAAGAATCTGCTAACGAGGACGATTTTAAGAAACTTAGGAGTCTGAAACGTAAACAAACTGAGGTGGCACGTGTGTTGCAGATCAAATGTGCTTTGCTGCTTCAAGGAAATCTTTCTTATTTGGAATATATGGAACTGCGGGACGAGTTGTGTAGGTTGAATGCCCTTAAGGAGACGTTTGCAAAACAAGCTGCTGGCTTCGAAAAGCGCTAGCTTTCAATCTATTAATATTCTGTATATATATATAACGTTTGAGATAGTGATGTGCCGAGTCGGCTATTTTTGGTACTCGAGTATTTTGGTACTCATTAAAAAAAGAATCGAGTCAGGATTCGAGTCAGATACTCGGATCAAGTATTCGAGTTCAGAGCTCGGTATTCGAATACGTTATAGATTCGACTGCTGAACATGCACCCAACCGAAATGCCGACTTTTTATTTAACATGATATTATTATTAACTCCAAGATAGTATATCCGATTTATGTAGATCCAAACATAGAAATCTAATTCTTACATACTTACAAATAATAATTAAAATTAAATAAATATAGGGTTCAATAACAGTTGCTTTATTTATCATAGTAGAACTAGAACTTAGTAGTATGTCATAAAAAAAATATCCAAAGTAAATAATGAGTTAAAAAAAAATAAATCTTCAGTACCTTAAAAGTTCAACTAGTACTTCAATTATAATGCCAATATTCCATGAGATCTAGATTCATAAACAACAAAATTACTCCTTTGGAATTTAAAATTCCTTTCATCTTTGGCAATTAATACCTATAACGATATTAAAATTAATTTAGTTGTGTGGTGTATTTGGTAAATATATATACATATATATTTTTTTTTAACGCTAAACCGCCATTTATATATCAAAAATACCTGATTCGGTGTTTGATAAATATAAGTACTCGAGACCCGTACTCGAGTCTGTGTATGCGAATACTATAATTTGCTTACTCGAGTACGTGAGTACTTCTAAAATACTCGAGTCAGAACTCGAGTCGACTCGACTCGGCACATCACTAGTTTGAGACATTCAGCATTCAGTAAGCGGTCTCTAGTAACGGCTAGGGAGACCCGAGCCCTTTTTAGAGTCCCGAAATCCCGGGATTAAGCCCTCGGGATCCCGGGATATAATTTAATTTACGACCGAATTAAAATAAAACGAAATTCAGACACTGTAATGGCATAAAAGAATTATACAAACAATAAAATAAAATAATACAATTCCCAAGGCGAATTTATACAAGGTGGTGTTTTAAAATCAGCTGATTTCAAGGCGAATTTATACATATATATATCATGGTGTAATGAACTGAAGGTGGCGCATTCCCGAAACCGCTACTTTGGTTTTGCCGACTTTGGCATTTATGGCAATACGTAAACAAACTTTTTGTTTAGAAACAAGTGCAAACGTATTGTGTACTTTCAAGTGAAAAATCGAAGTAATAAAAACTTTATAAAAATGTCGTGTCGTGTGTTGAATTGCAGCAGCTGTAGGAGTAAAGCCCCCTCGCTAGGGCAGGCACCTTGTCGTTGGTGCGGGGGCTTAGCTGCATCACCAACCAGCCCTCTTCTGGTTTGAGGTAACGCGGATGTGCAGACCTCCGCGCTACCTTCTCTCTAGACTTGGGCTGCTGGAGAACAGTGACCAAGAACTGCCACCTCCTAATCCAGGGTGTTAAGCGACACCGTGCCTATTGGACGGTTTGCAGCCAGGAGGGTATAAACCGGCTGTATTTGAACGGCGCCTTTCCGACACCGGGCCGCATCGGGAAGTAACGGTGGCCTTACCGCGACAAGGGGCGCTGGCGCGGCGGACTTTTGAAGATCCCCTACGAAAATTTAGACCACTGAGCTCGCCTCGTCGAGCAGGTGGTCGTACGAACAAGATGATGACAAAACAACAACCAAAAAACCAAAAAACACAAAACTCGACAGCCACAACAACAGCTAGCACAGCAACAACAACACCCGCGGCTTCAAATGCGGTAGGTGTAACTGCAACAGGCACAACTAAAGTACTGGAGACGCCAAGAAACAGCAGCGCGTGGGAAGGCCCAAGAAGTGCTGGGCGGAAAGGCAGTTTCCTAGACCAGTTAACCGCCGAGGAGGCAGCGCTGTTCATCGAACATGCAAGGGACGATGACCAACCAGGAACCAGTGCAGATGCGCTACGTCGCATGGGCCCGAGCAAAACAGGTAGTTCTAATAACAGAAATCTAACAGGAAATCACAATTTACCTGCCGAACCAGATCGGCCGCAACACCGGTCCGGCAGTTCTCATTGCAGGTACAGAGAGGCAGCAAGGTCAGACAGCAGCCACCGCACCGATGGTAGTCACCGCTCCAAGAACCGGCATCGCTCGGGTAGTCGGCGTCGCTCTACGAGTCGACACCGCTCAGAGAGCCGGCAGCGCTCCAAGAGCCGGCGCCGCTCCGAAAGCGGTCATCGGGCGGAGAAGGAGAGACTCCATAGGTCGCACAGCAGAAGCGCCTCAGCAGCGTCCGACGACTCCGGGTGGCAGAAGCAACGGAGGAGGAAGCACCGCAGGGCCAAGCCTCCTCCGATGCCGCAGCCAGGTCAACCGGGGTCCCTAGACGATCGGCTTCGCGAGGGCTTAAGCGGTTCCGGGGTCAAATGGTACCTCCGGTACCTCGGGCAAGGCAAACCCCCAGTCGAAGCCAGAGCCATGGCAGAGGTCAGGATGGAGATTGAGAATGAGGGACGTGAAAGGCACAAGAAAGGCGACAAACCCGCACCCGCCGATAGGTGGAAGAGCGGGCCCCACAAACAGGAACACTTACCCGCACCTGCTGAAAAGCAGAAGAGCGGGCCACAGCGACAACAGCAGCACAGACCCGCGCCCGCTGAAAAGCGGAAAAGCGAGGAACCAACAGGCTCCAACCAAAGAGGTAGCAACCAGGTCACTCCGCCAGAGACACCGGGCACCAAACGGCAGCGGGAGCAGCCACCCCCTCCGAACTCATGGTCTAGGAGCCTGGGCGGGCCGTTCGAGCAGGGACAGGCGCAGGGGGTTCCACTCAGCAACCCAGCTATTCGGAAGCCCTCAAAGGCATTCGGGTAGCTGTGCTGCCTTGTGAGTACCCAGCTGCCGCCCTGAGCTCGGAAGACCTAACCAGACTCCAGGATGCCATTTTGGAAAAGGTTTTTAAAGGATGGTCGCACCCGCTGGTGTTCTGTGGTGTATACTTCAGATCCGGCATGCTACTGGTAGACTGCAGGGACGAGAGGACAGCAACCTGGCTGGTGAAGAAAGCACCGGCACTTGAGGGCTGGAAGGGACCCGAGATGTGCACGAAGAGGGGGGATGACATCCCTCCAGTGCACAACATCACGGTGTTCCTGCCAAGGAGCGCCGACAAGTCGGCGGAGTTTGCGTTGGGGCTACTAAAAGCGCAGAATGAGGGCATCCACATCTCTGCGTGGAAGGCACTCAAGGCCCTCTCAGCATTTGAGGTCAAGTCATCCTTGGTTCTTGAGTGCATAGATAGGCTCAACAGCCTGGCAGAGCACAACAAAATCCAATTAACTTGGGTACCAGGACACATAGGAGTTGCGGGCAACGAAGAAGCGGACCGACTAGCTAGATTGGCGGCCGCCTCGTCGCCTATAGGGCCTGAGCCCTTCCTAGCGATTGGACCCAGTACAATCAAGGAGGAGCTCAGGAAAGAAAGGAACATACAAAGGAATCAACACTGGCGCAACACTACAGGTTTACGTCAAGCAAAACAACTACTGGGAGGCTACAACCTCACGAGGTACAGGGCAGTTATCAACCTATCCAAAGGAAAACTAAGGATCATAACAGGTTTTCTGACGGGTCACTGCAGACTGAGAGGCCACCTACACAAGCTAGGGATTTGGTCCAACGACCTATGTCGTTACTGCGACGTGACCGAGGAGACTCCCGGTAAAATGAAACTAGATATGAAGTGAACGAAGGAATACATAGCAATGGCAAATGTTGAATTAAGAGGGGGGGTGTAAATGAGATAAGAAGTGGCGTTAGTGTTAATGTTTTTTCCATTGGCTACCTGCATGATTTTTTTACACAAATTGCACCCACATTTATGATTGGTAATGTTTTAGAACGTTTCGAAAAATTTAAAACGCACACGAATCAGGCCACCCTTAAAAGATGCGCCAATTCATAAATACCTCTCAGTAAAATATTGAAACGTACGTAGTATTTATAGGTGTTCATTGATCGATTTTTGTCATTCAACAAGTGTCTCCGAACGCGTAAAGTACGATTTTTTTAAAGTGACGAAAAAGTAATAAAAGTATAAAACCGAAATGAGTGCAAATTGTCCAGAAAATATCAATTTATTTTGTTACGTTTGTGGCAAAAGAGCTTTTTCAACAAATACTGCATTACTCACTGAGCAAGTGGAGCGCGCTTTTAAACCTTATTTTGATTCCGAAATAATTCGCGGCGTTTCGTGGGTCCCAGACAAAATTTGTAAAACGTGCTTCAATGGTCTTAACATGTGGATCCAAGGGAAACGCAGTTCACTTCGTTTTGGTGTACCAATGATTTGGACTGATCCAGGAGAGCACAATTCCGACAACTGTTACGCTTGCGCAAAC